CTCCAGACCCTCAATCTGCTCCCTTCAAAATTTTATTCTCTGCCCCAGACCGTCATTCTAAAACATCCTAAAACTTCATCCAGGGTCCCCAGACCCTCGCCCAGGAACGAGAGGCTCCCAGGTGCAGAACTGTCCTTCTCGCTGCCTCCTGCCCTCCACCCCCAGGACCGTCTTCAGCCAGGTGGTCTTCACTGCACACGGCGTCACCCACACCCTCCATCCACAAAGCTACAAGTTTGGGGGCGAGGGAGGCAGTTCCCTTTTGGCACAAAATGAATGGAAGCCCCTGAGAAGGAGGGCAGGGCTGATGTCGGACGTGCAGGATGCCAGGGTCGGGTGCCAACGTGCCTCCTCGACCTCCTCGCACCCGCGTCCCCCGCCCGGTTTCCGCCTCCGCCCCAAGTGGGGGCGTGTCCTTGGAGGCGGAGTATGGGCGGTGCTGGCTCCCAGGAAGGGGAGTGGCCTCTGTTTGCCCACGTCTCTGGGCGGAGTCAGGCGGGAAAGCGCTGCGTGTCCGGGGATCCCCCGCCTGGGGCCCGCCCTTCCTTTCCCTTTGCCATCCCTGCTTATCCCCACAGTCGCCCTCCACGTGACCCCAGCCTGCCGAGGAGGGGACGTGCTGGTGGGTCCCGAGGCGAGCGCCTGGGGTTCAGGTTAACTGAGCAGTTCCCGCTCCTCGCCACTCTACCACCACCATCCCTCCCAGCCGCTGGGGCCAGAAGGTTAAATGATAGTTCTTCAGGGGCCGGGCGCGGTGGCTCACGCCTGTAATCCCAGCACTTTGAGAGGCCGAGGCGGGTGGATCACCTGAGGTCAAGAGTTCGAGACCAGTCTGGAACACCATCTCTACTAAAAATATAAAAATTAGCCAGGCGTGGTTGCGCGTGCCTGTGGTCGCAGCTACTCAGGAGCTTGAGGCAGGAGAATCGCTTGAACTCGGGAGGTAGAGCTTGCAGTGAGCCCAGATCACACCACTGCACTCCAGCCTGGGTGACACAGCGAGACTCTGTCTTCAAAAATAATAGGCCAGACGCAGTGGCTCACGCCTGTAACCCCAACACTTTGGGAGCCCGAGGGTGGGCAGATCACAAGGTCAGGAGTTCAAGACCAGCCTGGCCAACAAAAACACAAATTAGCCAGTGTGGTGGTATGTGCCTCTAATCCCAGCTACTCCGGAGGTTGAGGCAGAAGTATCTCTTGAACCTGGGAGGCAAAGGTTGCAATGAGCCGAGATTGTGCCATTGCACTCCAGCCTGGGTGACAGAGCGAGAGTCCGTCTCAAAAAATAATAATAATAATAATAATAGCTCTTTAAACAAGAAAGACAATAACAAGTGTTGGCAAAGATATGGAGAAACTGGAGCCCTCATGCACTGTTGATGGAAAATGGTTTGGCAGTTCCTCAAAATGTTATCACATGACCTGGCGATTTCATTCCTAGGGACACAAACCTAGGATAATTGAAAAGATATGTACACACACACAAATCTGTACACAGCATTTATAGCTGCATTATATATGAGCCAAATGCAGAAACAACACAAAATCTGTCAACTGATGAATAACACGATGCAGTACATCCATACAGTGGAACATTATTCAGCCATAAAAAGGAATGAAGTGCGGATGCATGCCACAATATAGGTGAATTCTTGAAAATATTATGTGAAGTGAAAGAAGCCAGACACAAAAAGCCACATATTCTATTTATTTTTTATTTTTTTTAGGTGGAGTTTCGCTCTTGTTGCTCAGGCTGGAGTGCAATGGCATGATCTCGGCTCACCACAATCTCTGCCTGCCGGGTTCAAGCAATTCTCCTGCCTCAGGCTCCCGAGTAGCTGGGATTACAGGCACCTGCCACCACGCCCAGCTAATTTTGTGTTTTTAGTAGACACGGGGTTTCACCATATTGGTTAGGCTGGTCTCAAACTCCAGATCTCAGGTGATCCACTCACCTCGACCTCCTACAGTGCTTGGATTATAGGCGTGAGCCACCGTGCCCAGCACACATATTACATTTATACGAAATAACCAGAATAGGCAAACCCAGAAAAACAGAAAGTAGATTATAATGGTTGCCAGAGGAAGGTGGGGAATGGGGAGTGACTGCTAATGGGTCTGGGTTTTCTTTGGGATAATGAAAATATTCTAAAACTAGATAGTAGTGATGGTCACATAACTATGCAAACATACTAAAACCCACTGAATTGTACACTTCAAAAAAGTGAAGTTTCTTTAGGAGGCCGAGGCGGGTAGATCACGAGGTTAGGAGATCAAGACCATCCTGGCTAACACGGTGAAACCCCATCTCTACAAAAAAATTAGCCAGGCATGGTGGTGGGCACCTGTAATCCCAGCTACTTGGGAGGCCGAGGCAGTAGAATGGCGTGAACCTGGTAGGCAGAGCTTGCAGTGAGCCGAGATCACTCCACTGCACTCCAGCCTGGGCAACAGAGCGAGACTCCATCTCAAAAAAAAAAAAAAAAGTGAAGTTTATAGTCTGTAATAATACCACAATAGGGCCGGGCGCGGTGGCTCAAGCCTGTAATCCCAGCACTTTGGGAGGCCGAGA